ATACAGCGACCTTTTCCGAAAACCAAGTTACCGATTAGTACCACACTTAAATGACTGCCAACCGTACGATATATAATGTGATGATAATCATTCTAGCTGTAAATTTGGCTAAAATAATTCACCACTAAAAAATGGTTAGAAAAACACATTTTTCACAGAGATGACAATAAAAGTAAAAATCTTGTCAAAAATTTAAAAAAGAAAAATATACGTGTATAGTTTATACAGAATAAAGTAGTGAAACGGTTGACTTTAAAAATAATTTTTCAATAAGAATGCTAGCTAAATGCTAAACATTATTAATTTAAAAACAATATTTATGTAATGTAGTACCTATAAATATTTAGTAGTTAAGTAAGGACTACTCGCTGTCTATTTTGTGTTCTTTTCAATCTTAAACGGCACAATTAGATATAGTACGGTAAAGGTAGAAGAGATAGGGACCAAAGGAAAATAATTATTGAAGTAGGTATATATTTTATAAGAAAAAAATATCTTTGAAATTGTGCGTGCGCTATTTAATATTGAAAAATACGCTTTGATATTTTCACAAATAAATTATAAGTTATTACTCAATACTATTGATGACGCTATCTTCTATTTTAGTATAAAAAAAAAAAAAAAAAACGCAAATATTTTGATATATTATGGCATCGTTAAAGTAAAACGTGTATCTACATTATAATATAACGTCATTATGGTTACAAAGCGCGGATGGTTAACGTTATTCTAAAAATCAAAATTCAATCGCATTGATGCTTGATTCGTATCTTTTTGTGCTTATACAATACATTGTACAATTTTGAATTGTTTTAGTATTTATTTTCCAACTACATATTATTCTCTTTGAGCGCAACATACTTGCATTGACCGCAGTGCCGCATTAAGAGAATTGGCGCCCCTAGGCCCGTATAAAATATCGCCCTTAAAAAAAAATGTTTGTTTATCGACAAGTAACAAAGACATTTTTCTCTTATATAATTATAAAAAACTTCTTATATAACTTGTTCACACAATTTATTTTTTTAAATAATTTAGTTAAATTAAAAATTATATAAAATTCAGAAATATAATTGTAATAAAATATTTAGAATTTTATTAAAAAAAAAAGAAATTTTGCGTATTTTACGAGTATAACGATTAATATATATTTATTTTATCTTTTCACAAATAATTGAAAACAAGGAAGGCAAAAAAAAGTATACAAATAAAAAATAAAAACATTTTTAATATTCATACTTTAAGTTTGAAAATTAAACAATTTTCTTTATAATTTTCTATTAAAAGTTATCAGAAATTTTGTAACAGTAATACATTTGTAAAGAAAATGTTTTATTACACCTTTATTACACCTATTATCTAGTGACATTATATTATATAAGAATAAAATAAAAAATAACTTTTTGTAAATCAGTTAATTCATTTCACCAATTTTTCTACAGTTGAATATAACTAAAACATTAAATTAATATTTAAATGATTTTTTTTAATAATATTACAGTAATGTTAAAAAATCATAAAATATATATAAATAGTAAAATAACCACTTTGTGTAAATACCTAAAAGTGTAAGATCTTTAAGCAAACCTAATTCAAATACAATATTCAAAATGTCAAAACAATAATTTTACAACGTTATTAGCTTGTTGATTGTTGAAAGTAAATATTAAGAAATAGTTATGCTTACTTTAAAAATAAAATATACGTATATTGTATACATATATATATAAGTAAATTCAGTAAATTCAGAAAATTAAAAACACGTACACGTCAAGTCGAGTCCAAACGTTAGAAAATGAAATTGCAGATTTTCTGAACAAAAAACCCGTTCTTTATTAACAAAAATACAGATTGATAACAAAAATGTCTTCGATCAATTATTTTAGAACTATTGCAGGGGAACATAAATTTTGTATTTTTGCCACTTGTACTAGATCGTAGACAGCGCCCTTTATATAATTTAAAATTAAAGTGCCTCTAGGTCTGAGCCTACTTGGCTTATACGTTAATCCACCACTGATCGACCGTTTTAATTAATTTCGATTGACATCCCGATGATATCCGGGGGTTGGGCTAAAAATCATTGATTTATAGGTACAGCGAATAAACATACAAATCCTCTTTAGTCCATAATAGTTACATAAAATCCAAGTTTTTTCAATGTTATTTTTTTTGAATAAATCCAGTACTTAAATTGTTAAATATTCATTAGCGCAAATTATTTTTTAGTATTTTACGCATGAGCGACAGTTGAAATTAGTATCTAATACGTTTGATCTAAATAGTGCATGTACCTACTTAGTTGATTTATATTCTATTAATACTAATTCAATTTTTTAAATTTTCTTTCCAATTTAATAGTATTTTACTATTCGTGTTTAATGCGTTTGATCTCGTTGGATTTTTTCTATTGATTTATATATATATACTCGTATATTTATAGTTTTTTTTTTGTAATTTTACCAATAACAAATATTAAAAAAAAAAAAAATTAAACATCTTGAAAGAACAATCTCAATCAACTCATGTATAAAAAGTTTTGATGTATAATGCCCGTTTTTATTGTCACAAAATATAATATCTTTCATAAAGTTTTTGAATGTAAAGTTCTAAAAATCTAAAATTTACCATTAACATCAAATTTATGAAATGTTTGTAAGTTTGGGTCAAGTATTGCGTTTTTACGTCACCTATAAATTAACGTACAAATGAACTAAACATGAAAACTCCAAATTACCTACTTTACAAATATTTTAATTAACTTAAACATAAATTGGAATACTAATGGGTATATTTCACCTATATTTAAAATCGTTAAAAAAAATTATCATAACAACTTTTTATTTCATTTAAAAAAAATTATTTGTATATTCTTTCAATAAATAACTACATTGCTGGTAAGTGATAAGTGTATTTTATTTTTATATTAGTGATATTTTTCGTCACAATTATAACTTTTACAACGATTTATTGGATATTAAAATTTAAAGTATATGTCGTGCAAAGTGCATATTACGATAACCGTAAAGCACAGTTATGAACATGGTCATTATTATTTTATTCGATAAGCTAATGGAATACGAAACATAGGTAATATAAATTTATTTATATTTATTTAGTCCCTGTTTTACTTTTCAGACCGAATATGCATGCTTCATGGCTGTATTTGTGGTACAATAATATACCAGTATAATTTCTACTCGATTTTTCGAGAACCAAAATAATAATAAGGTAAAAATTGTGTGAGAATTCAATATTAGCTAATATGTGCCTTGTTTGTGATTAACATTATGCATTATTTACCAATTATGTAATTAAAACAAAAATAATTATTTGTACTTGAAGAATAATCAAAGTGGAATGAGATCATATGAAGGTTTTTAATGGCTGCAATGTAATCTTTAGCTAGAATAGTACATAATAAATACAGAATCCGTATATATAAATAAAACAAATGCAATTAATGATATTTGTAGATATAAAAAAATACACCGAACAATATTGAATTATACCATTACTTACTAAGAGGATAGTATTTGAAAAATAAATAAGCTGAAATCATATGTGAATAATTCGTCAAATTTAATCAACGGTAATGTTAATGTTTTTCATTGAACAACGTTTTAGTATTTTCTTTTTATTTACATACTTATGCAATTTACAACCGTGTGTTTTTTGTGAAATTATTCAGAAAACTATATTAACTTGCAGACAATTTATTTTTTACATCCATCAATTATTTAACAGGTATTATCACTTAATACGAAAAAAAAAATCATGTAAAAGTATAATTTATATAAAATCATTTTTAATAACCAATATCTTAAAAATAATGAGATTGAGATAAATATAAAAATAATATAATTTTCAAGTATTCTAAATAAATATTTATGTTAAGTTGACGACTATAACACTGAATGAAAATATATACCTAATCGTAACCTATTTACTTATTTTAATATAATATATTTTTTTGTTTTGTTCAGGAAATTTTGTACATTTTTATGCGTGTAAGACATTATACTTAAGTGATATAACTTTCCAGAGCTTAAAGCTATCCAATTTGTTGTCTTGGATGTGTATTTTTTAAACCTATACTTTAATATTTAGCACCCATTAGCTTATAAGATCACTAAATAACACAATTAAACGTTTCATTTTTTCAATTAGTCTTAATTATATTTTCAGAATATTATGGTGTTATAATATATATATATATATATACAGAAGCAATAACGCTTAAAGACGATTTTGTCCAATTAATTTTTTTTTTTTTTTGTATAAAAAATAAGGTGGACCAGTAAGGAATTGTGTTCAATAAAACATTTCGTTTGTAGAGATAATTCCCCAGTACTTAATTTTTTTCAAATGAACTTAAATGTAATTCTTTTTCAAATAAACATTATTTATTTTTTTTATTTATTTATTTTTTTTTGTATATATATATATATAGAAAAAAGAAAGTGTGTGACAGAGCTATCACGTAAAAAGTAATAATGGTTTTATTTTTGAATGCTGAAAATTAATTAAATTGTTTATTCTATAATAAAATTGATCGTAAGCAGAAAAACAGATGTATCCGACTATTAACACAGATTTATTCTTCTAAAAAATAAAACGGGCACGGTTCAAATATATATACTTTAAACGTAATCGTAAATTCGGACACTTTTTTTGTTTAAATTGAGGGAGCCGTATTTATTTATTTGAACTTGATTTGTATAAGAAAAATACAAATAAAATGAAAATTAAATTGATACAATTGTTTCACTGTTCGTATTTCAATCGTTTCTATTAATAAATTCTAATTTTTAAATTCAAAAGAAATTTTAAGTAAGACGAGGTCCTTCAGCTAGTTATAAAGTTTAGGCTCTAAAAGTAATTCAAAAATATTTACAAATTTAACATAATACAAAATATGCTTTTTAGTGTTTCTGAGTTGATAACCTAATTATCCTATTCTGAAAATAAGAAAAACATTCAATATTTCGTTTACTTACAGTTCTGTTGGCAAGATTTTTGACTCTGCAGTTGAGATAGGCCGTTTTTCCCAAAGGGGACGTCACATTTATTGACGCGGCCTTGTCGAAGTATGGTAGATCAGGTTTCCCTGAGAATTCACCCAAATTATTTTGATGTTTATTTGATTTGCTCAACAGGCATTCTGATACATCTGAAAACCACAATAAAAATATTTATATGATGCCAAGTAAAAAATATATTTGTCTGTTATATTAAATTTTATTAAACGAGAAAACCATTTAGCACTTAAATTGGTTATACGTGATTGTTAACACTTCGTTTCAGTTACGTATTGCTATATTTTCTCTAAACGTAAAACTGTGTACCCAATCAAACGGTACTACGGAGTAATACTAAACAAAGTATAAATGATTATATACCTCATTTGGTCCAATCCGTAAAATACTTACAGTGTGGAACCGCAATTTCCAAATACCCATGAGCAACAACTAAGTAAAATAAATGTCGGAAACTCACTATACACATACTATCTTGAAGGAAATCCTGTAAGACATTACTAACCGAGAAATCAGACTGGATATTACGCACTTACTGTCATGCTAAACATAGTAACTGGGTAAAATGGCTACCCGATCGAACATTGGCTAAACAATACCACTCACACTTCACTGGATACACCTCAACAAATACGGACAGGAAAATTGCATCCTCTGATTAAGCAACTATCTTTCTCACATCGATAGAATACCCGGTTGACAATCATCAATTGGCTAGACAAAACATGAAAGAAGAAAGCCACTCCAACGTAATCAACGCTAAAAAGACCAGGAAAAATTTCTAAATATACCGAAGGACAATGGATACTGGTACGCGAACACAAATTATCATCCTCAGCCGAAGTTTAAACAAATACGTAAATTATTTTACTATACAGAGGACCATACAAATTTGTCGAGTAAATAGACATAACATATCTGTGGGAAAATGAAGGGAAGACGGTATATAATATCAAGAACATTAAACCTATATGTTATTCTGAAGGGAGAAACTTCAGGCTCGCACTCCTTCTGAATCCTCATGAATGTTTGTGAATTATTATTGTAAATATGTATATAGTAAATTAGTTATATTTATAGTACAGGTTAGAAATATAAAAATAAAAATGGCAAGCAAATTACCACTGAACTCGAACAAAGAATAGAAAATAAGATACTTGAACTGTTCGGGAAGAATAATACAATTAGATCGACAATATCAATCATAGTTAATCAAAGACCTCAGAGGAAGGAGTTAGAGATCAGTAATTACCAGATTTATTAAACAAAGGAAAATCTGAAGCGACTATTGCTCGATTCATACTGCCTTTATCAAATAACATCACTAGGAACAACAGAAGGATGGCGCAATATGAACGAGAAAGCCAAGATAACTAGATATTGCATAGATCACAAATTAAATTACCGGAATCAATATACTGTTGGAAAACAAAATTCCTACCGAGATACCAAAATCATCCTTTATCACCAGGAATATCATCGGCGGAAGAGCAAAAATAAACATCAATCCCAATATTGGTAACCGACAGATTAAACAACTCTATCTGAAAACTCTCAGCATCACCGGAATAAAGTCAACAAGAATGATCAAACCAGAAGGAACGGTAATCTCGTAAACTTGGTTTGAAATCCTCATTGTCACCAAACCTGAATTTCAAGGGACTCATAACGAGACAAAATGCATCGCACATTAATAATACTACGGTCACACTCCCGCCCTAGTGATGAACAGCGACACTACTATCCGTCGAATACTGTTCGACGGCAGTATTAATAGTAACTATAGATGGCGCCAGGTGTGCCGACATTAAAACACTCAACGTTGATTTATGAAAAGGAGAAACCTATCTTATAGTTACAATAATGGCAAGTTCTACTTGTTAAACATGATAAGAAGGACTATCACGAAAACTGTACGCCAATATGATTAAAGAATAATAAAAACAAAATGACGTTGTGCAGGAGGTATAACTGGCACAGATATGATGACAGCCGTACCTGCATATACTACCCGTCAAATGATCGCCAGCATTAGTAGTGTTACGATTGTATATTCGTGGACAACCGACCTGTAAAACGCATGGTATACGGCATCGATCCACGAGGTATACATATCCCATAACTTTGGTACGCCATAGAGCGACCAGTTAATAACTGCTGTTGAAGAAGCCAACCACATACCAGTCAACCTTCATCGCAGCCAGAATACATCAACGCCGGAGGGACCGCTGCCGTGCTTTCAGACTAACCCGGGTGAAGTTTACAGTATGGTACGTACCACTAGTCATTCGACGTTCCCACAGACTACGTTAAAACACGTAATGAACTGGTATTAGGTTTTCAAGTCATTGATAGTACAAGTGTCATTCCCAGCTTACCTCTGTACTAACGTTGTAATCTAATGGTACACGTACGTGATGACAGTGAATAAATATTATCTTAATATAGTAGTTGTATGAAAATGTTGTATTGTAAGTTCTTTAATGAACATAATTATTTTATTGTACATTCTAAAGGGAATCTAATTTTGATATTATATGTAAATGTATCCATAATGTACAAACCTAACCTTGAAAGTGAATAAAACAAAAGTGATAATTAAACCATTCTAAGTTTTATTACGA